CGAGTTTTGATCCCATATAGAGGTTTTGTAGGGTCGAAGGTTTAGGGATACTGCATAACTGCATAACAGAAAACAAAATGGAAACTACTATGTCATTTGAGGCTTATACAGAGCTTTGAGTTCATAAGGATTTTATAGTGTATACGACATAGGGATCATACCCCAACAATGCAGAATCAAATTGGAAAGGACATGGAAACTGGATTTCTACTAAACGAGGTTATAAGGATATGGGGGTTTCCCGAAATTAGGGGCCCCACGCTCGGAGCCCTTACAAGAAGGATTTGAAAATATTTGGATATATGTTGTCCGCTCTGAACCCCAAACCCTAACGCGGGGCCTTGCAGGCTGTCCCTTATTAACATCACAGTGATGAGAGGACGATAGGGACTTAGGGTTTAGGGTCGAAATTCATGTGGCAACAAGCCTACAAGAGTTAGTCATGGGAAGGTGCGCAAGAGAAGAAAGCTCCACCGAAAAGCCACCAGGATAGAATTTGCGGAGGGTCTCACAAGGATGGTACTCTGCCGCGTCTAGAGGCAACTACATTAGGATTTACATGCGATTAGGGTGCCTTTCATGCATTCCATAGCGTATATGTTGAAGACTTGCAAACAGGAGCATAGTGTAGCGGACTGCCTGCTGGGCAAACATCGCGGAGTCGCTTTGTAGCATGCGTCGCATGTTTCGGGACCCTTTGGCCAAGGGTGGGAAGGGTGCGGGTCCACAAAGTGCTTTTGACTTCTGAAGTCCCGCAGTTGAATCTTAAAACGTGGAACGGCACATTGGCCACGGCAAGACAGGACTCATAGGAATGGATGTGGGAGTTCCTGAAATGTGGCGCTGCTTGCCCACAGCATGTTCACACTGCTCCATATGGGTGGTTGTCAACATTTGGTCCCTTTTTGGATCCCTATGATAACACGGCACCTAGTATTTAGGGTACCCAAAAAGGGACCACAATTTTGACATGCAATGGGACTCCAGCTCTTGAAAATTCCCACATCACCGGAAGAGTGGGACAAGATTTGCGATGAGGGGAGCATGGTCACTGGCTGATCCCCAGGAGCCCATACCTGGCAGGGTTTAGGGTTTGGGGTTTAGGGTTTAGGGATGAAAGCAAATCTGAGACTCTGCTATCAAGTCGGACCGAAGAACGGCAGTAGTACTTGGAGGGTCAGGGGAACTTTGCAAGTATACTTATAGCCCCCAGAAGTGATAGAATGACCCCAGTGATCCCAATTACTAACCTACTTACAGTCCTCCTGACCCTCCCAGTAAGAGCAGTCTGCGCACCTACTCTGTCGATTGCAGCCTGGACAAGGGACCTTGATGGCAGGCAACAGGGGTTATACACAAGTACATTGGGAATGGAAAAGAAAATGGAAACTACCATAAGTAGAGTAACTAGACTTACATGAGATTCTCGAAACCTGTGCAAGCATGCGACTTGTCTCTACAATCCAGACATGATCTTCTAGAAGCTCAGCCCCAGATCCGGCTAAATCTCACCAAAATAGCAAACCCATCTCCTGGAAAAGCTTGGACCCAGGCCATTGCCCTTGGCTGGCCAGCATAAAATCCACCCTGCACTTTCTTCGCAGCTAAAGACAAGTGAGGAGTGTCTTTTGCGTGATTGAACCAAGCAAGATGTTGTCCTTGCAAAGCAGCTAAAACAACCTATGCAAGAATACTACTGTACCAAATGGGCTTCTCCAGGCTGTGCATTTGTTGCCGGTATGCTGCGAATGCATCGAGGCATCACTATCCAACAACCAAATCTTCAATTTGAGAAGGCCTCCAAAACTTGAGGGCCCCTACTTGTACGGACACACAAAGAAGGCACATGCGTCTAATTGCGTCTATGCAGGCCTGCAGTTCGGGTTGTTGTGGTCGCTAAAGGAGCGCCCTGGATCCTTAGCTTGCCAATCAAAGCAATGCTTAGCTTGCTTGGCATTCACGAAGGATATCCGCTTTCGTGAGATAAGTCCGACTCGAAAGTGCTTCAAACCAGCTGCCATGACCACCCAGTACCAGTGAACAGCTTCAAATTTTGATACGTGGCCACAATGAAATCAACTGTCCCCAGTTGTAGAGAATATGCTTGCGCGCCTCGACATGCACGTCCACCATGTCGACAGGGGCGAAGCCATCACTCCCCTGCACTTCGCCTCTGAGGTACTGGAGGGCCTGGCAATAGTTTCTGCTTTGCATAACTCAGACGAAGCACAAGAATATGGTGTAACAATACTTGCACATGACAGGCCTCGGTCTTCGGGCCCTGCAACAAGCAAGGAAGCCCAAAATCTTTCTCAAAATCATTACCATGAATACAAATTTTGCTATTATTACTACTATTACTGCTATTATTACTTCTTATTAATCTTTCTACCATTTATTACTCCTTTTCTCTTATTACGATTATTACCATGATTATATCTCTACTACTATTACTATGGATATTGTTCATTGCGTGATCAGCAAACTTACGCCATGATGCTGTGCTGGAAAATTGAGGGAGCAAGATCCTCAAGTGCCCACCTCGCAGAATTGGTTCGTGTCACCCACCTTCTTGGAATAAAAATTAGTATAGTAATACTAATATGGATAGTAGTAATAATAATAAGATCAGTAGTGATTTTGGGAAGAAAGGATTCTGTGGATGTCGTCGTCATGCTCAGGTTGCAGCAAGGATCGTCGGAGGCGAGCCATACCTAAAGTCACGACCAACCATGTACCCAAGGCGCAAAACAAGAAACATCTCTGCACTTGGAGCATGCAAAGTGGCTGTGTATCACAGTGATGTACTGCCGCTTGTCTGGAGAATTTGATCTACCAACTCTGGAGGCCCCTGCATGGAACGTAACTTCTGCATCCCACACTATCACAAAGCTGGCATCATTGGTTTTGAAGATGCCCAGCTTCTGTGAATCCCGTACTCAAGAACTACACCCTGAATACTGATGCTTCGCAGTCAAATAGTCACTCCAGCAACACCTGATACTAAAATTTTCGCCACGAAAGAAATAGAGTTGCTCGAGCGAGAGGAGTGTTCAATACCATTCAGACGATAGTTAAGAATATGTTCCGTAACGTCAAACTCGTTCTCGTTGGTACAAATTCGAATTGAATCGGCTATTGAGCGCAGAGTGGGATTCCGGGAATGCAACACGGATGAGTCTTTAATAATCACCATGGGGGATGGGGCACATCATAAGCAGCCGGTGATTGCCATACGAAAATTCTCTCAAGGCGCCATAAAAGAGACTACCCGGTCCACCGCAAAACTGTGGATCTACTGGCAGGAGGAACTGAACAAAACACGATGTCCGACAGAAGCAACGCAGCAGCTGTGAGCCTCATGCTAGTCATAGAACGAATACTGTAGACTAGCAGCAGTAGCAGTAGCAGTCATACTAGTAGTACTGGCACCTTCTCTCTGAGGCGAAGACTTTGCTCTGTCCTCTGCGATCTTCTTCGCAACTGTCTCTGCCTGTCTTGCCAAAACGGTAGCCGTACACAGCCCCAGAAAAGCGTAGCCCTCAAAAGGAACCCCGGACGCTAGCTACTCCATTCAGTGGCACGGAACTTAGAAGTACCTTCCCTCAGACGAAGACGTTGGAGCCCCAAAACCCCTTTTCTGGAGCCCTTTACAATCCCTCAGGCTAGAACCTGCAAACAATCCCCTTCATCCTGACAAACACGCATGTCGAGCCACAGTGGGACGGGGGGGACTGGCACCTGCTCAAGGCCATATCCATGCTTCCAGTGCGAGTCATAGAACAGGATCTTCTCTCCTGCGCAGAGAAGACCCAGTGACCGTAATTTTTGGGCTTGCAGCACTCCTGTCGGCAGGTGTTTGTAGAGAGCCTCGGGAGTGGCCAGAAGTGCATGCGTTGTACCCAAGAGCAACACTAGTACCCAACTTTCGTGTATTTCCAAATTTCAGACCCTACATGAGTACATGTACACCCACAGGACAGAGTGCATGTTGTAGAGGCCCCGGAAGGGATTCACAGATGTCCCCCAGGCAGTTCACAATCCCAACTGAACTCAGCCCGTAGCCATGGACATCCAGTACCCCTGCACCAGGGGTGTCCAGTCCTTGCCAGTCACACACAGGTTACAATCCAGACGCAACACGCAGTTGGGATGTCCAAGGGCGGAATGTTGAAAGTCAAATTCCCGTATGGTAACCTCCTATCTCCCCTGGGTTCCTGTGGGATTTCAGTAGCTTCCAGGCTTGCAAGGCAACGGGCCGCTATTCAAGATATGGCTGAAAGGCCTTCACCCCATTGTAAGCACTGCCAGTAGAGTTTAGGGTCTACAGTTAAGGGCTAAGGATTTAAGGATTTAGGGTTCAGGGCGGATACATAAGGGTTTGTGGTTAAGAATTTGAGGTGGTTAAGGGCTAAGGATTGAGGGTTTAGGGTTTCAGGGTTCAGATTTTGCAGTTTAGCATTGGGTGAATGGTTGAGGGCTTGATGTTTAGCCTTGAGGACTAGGCGTTCAGGGTTTAGGGTTAGGTGTAAAGAGCTGGGGCTTCAATGGAGTTTAGGGTCGAAGGTTTGGAGTTTTGAGGTAAGTGCCGTCCCTTTCCTTTGCTTATGCTTAGAGAAGAACTTGCGCTACGTACTGTCTCTCAAGCTTTCTTGGGGGTGCACGAAAAAAAGAACCATGAATAGGTGGCAGCCTGCTGTCAACTAGATGGACGAAGATTTCTGCTTGCTGAACAAAGTAAAGACATAATTCTAGCCTTGAAACTTGTAACAACACAACCACGAAAGAGCACTTGCTCTTTTCTTCTAAATTGGGGCTGGAGCATGCTTGCTTCAAGATGCTACCCAAATGTTCTCCGAGTTTCGGTTTCCAGCTTCTCAAACATTGCTGGCTTGAAGAACTGGCCTCGGCTCTCTGTATAGAAAATCCCAAAGGTGTAAAACCGGAAGTTGGTTTCATCTTATGAACTATGAACTACTCGAACCAAAGGACTGATCAAATCACGCCAAAGTGATGGCCAAGAGGCTACCACCGGCAAAGTTCAATCCGGTGGATGCCATGACCAACTCCTTCCGCAGTCGAGGAAGATTGTGATGTCATCATCACATCGGAAAGACACCCAACCCGACCTTCCCAGTACTGGAAAGCCCAAAGTGGGCTATCTCACAAGAAGACCCAGTTGTCTAGGATCCCCTGTCCCAAGCAATTTCCCAGAGAAAGCAACCCCATGCCCCCCTGTCCTCGACCTCCTGGTAGCCATGGCCACCCTTCTCGACTTCCTGAGCCTCAGGAGTTGAAGAGCACTCCATGTGTGGGTTCCATGTGTTGTTTTCGCAACAGATCCATGGGCTCCAGGCTCCCAGGAGGTCAGGATTCCATGCGTTGATCTTGCCCAAAACATTGTCACCCTCAGGCTACACAACGTCGGGTGAATTGCGTCAGCTCCCAGCGAAGACACGCACGAACATGCCAGCCTTCCAAGTGTTCGCATTGAAAGAGGACCATCCCATCAGGTTGTAAGACATGACCTGTGTCAGAACCATGCAGGTCATCCAGTCTACCATGCGCAGGGCATTGACATGCTGTGCTCACCAACCTGTCCCCTGCCACGCGCCTTGACCGCGCTGTTCGGATGGCTCATGTTGGCAGGCGGCAGAGAACGGGGCAGAGGTGGCACCTGCATGAAGCCAAGGCACCAAGAAGCAAGAACTTGCAATGACCCCAGCGCTCCACAGCATCTAATTTATAACAGCAGCAACACTTACCACAGGTCATGGCATTAACAACACGGATAAGAAATATTTTCACCATCATAACGACCCAAACATTAAGCAAACCGACAATAAGTGGCCCAGGCCTCCGCACGCATCGGCTTTGCGCCAAGCTGCAACATCAGATGATCCCTGGCAAGTCCAATAAACCCAAATTGGCGGATGTATCATCCTTGCTTCTAAAATCTCTACACAGACAGAGAACAAGGAAGTTCAAATAACAATCTTGACTGACTGCAGTGCGACTGCAGTCCAGCAAATATATCCTGAAGCACATGGACCGTTTGAACAAAACATTTCCTCAAGTTTGACTTCAAGCAACAGCAGCTTGCAGACATGGCCTTGACGCGGATACCTGTCAATACTTCGATTCTTCTCCGCATGTACATGCATCAGCAAAATCTTCAAAAGAAAAAACCTCTACCTTCTGCAACATCACAATGTGGAGGCAAGGCAAGCAATCCCGGCCTTGCTCTTTTGACAAAATCTTTGTTCCACAGCCTGGTTGAAGGTTTCGGGTTTAGGCATGTTTGCCGTTCAGTTTCCGGATTATAGTTGAGGGTTGGTTAAAGGTAGAGTGGCAGGATGTCAGAAAGCTGAAGCAAAAACATAGCAGGCTCAGAATCCTTTCTGCCTGGAGGTCAGGGTTTGCCTTCAACATCTGTCTAAAAACCATAAAAGCCACTTTGAACAATATAACGAGTTTTTTGACATACCACTTGCACCATTACAGCATAAGGCATGGGCGTCGTCCTGGCCGGCACGCACTGCAGCAATGCCTTAGATGAAGAAACCATGTTGCAAAAGGGCATTCATGGAGTAGAACGGCTTCGAGTTGAGCATTTACCGCGCAAAGTCTACGAATTAAGGCTGTGATACAGCCCCATACTCATTGAGTTTGGCTTGAGGTACAATTTACGAAATCTGCCGTCTGGAACATCTAGCGCTCCGTTGGTGGGAAATGCAACATCCATGGACCGCGCAACGTTTACATGCATGTCTGATTCACGCTGAGGGACTGCAACACACGACGAATGCCCGCCATTGAACATTTGCCATTGGTGATGTGAGATTTTTTTTGTGTACATAATTTCAATACGGCTGCCAAGCTTGTGCAACTTGGGGAGCAAGCATGAAAAATTACTCCATGCTACCATGAAATACATGTTTTGAGCCAGCTGATGCGAACTCTCGTCAACCAACATGGGCATTGCATCATAACGTGCATTTGCGAAACCCGCATGACCTCGAACCAGGCCTTGAACGCGGGAGTCTGCTCATCACCGCCCACAAGCTCGCTCTGTACTCCAGCGAATGGATCCGCCTCCTGTCGCCACCACATATCTGGTCTAATTGCAGCTATGATTATGACAACCACATCAATCTCCACATGAAGTCCTCCATTGCTGCAATGTGCAGCTAACTGCAATTGCATCACAGCTTCCAAATCTTCTACAGCTTGCAGAGCCAACAACGGCACAACCGCTTTCATGGCAGGGAACAGACAACTTGTATCGGCGAGCTTGCACCATAAAATATGAGTCAAACTGAATGTCGGCGTCCCCAAAACCAGAAGCTGTACATGTCACGTTTCCCCAATTACTGTGGTTTATTGCAGCGGAACACTTCAAACGAATCCTGGTGGAACCCCAAAGCTTCCTTGCAACCTGTCCTCCATGCTTGTTTTGTTCCATGCGGCACACAAAAATATTTCTAGCAGAAAGCATTGGCATGGTCAGATCCCTGGGATGTTTGTTGCGTGCACCCCAGAAACACTTCCACCAGCAAAAAATGTCATCAGATTACTCCACTCAACAACGCAAATGCAAACCAGAGCTTGAAAATATCCGCATGTCATTTTTTCCTGTCTTCCGGGGTTGGCAATAACCAAGGTTGCAAAATTTGCGTGTGGAAATGAAAAACCCAAAAATGGTCGACCTGTATGTTCACCCGCCACCTCTTACCTGAAAAACGGAAATGCTCCGCATTTAGTTCTGCACATATTGAAATATGACCTCCTGACATCATGTGGAGTGTCGTATGCTCGTATCACGTAAAGCATGATGATTTTAGCCATGTGCGCGTAAACGTGCCAACGACAATTGTTCGTCATTGATCAGAAAACTGCTGCACAACGACGGCCTCCCTTTTTGTTGCGAACTGATCAACATCAAATACATGTGTTGTTTAACCCGAACCTCAATGAAATATTACGAAGATGCCGTCGCCCGCTAAGATAAAGAAAAACAAAAAGACGAGACGATAACTGGGCAGTTCTGTGTGGTTACATTGCTCCGGTCCAAGACCTACCACAACAAGCAGACCGCAGTAGCACTCTTTTTCCTTGGGTTGCTCTGAGTGTAGCTTTCAGGGGGCTTAGAGGCTAGAAGGCTGCAAGCCATCTTGTCCGTCCGTTTTCGCCCCTGGTGAAAGTGTAAGGCTGAAAACCAAAAACGTTCTGGGCCGAACTAAGGTTCGGGCTTTGTGATAAGGCTCGAAAGAACTCAGCTCAGCGGGTTGAGGCTGACATGAACTTTGAGGTTGTTAGTGCAAGGCCCTGTGGCCCAGGCGAGGGCTGAGTGTGGTAGGCTAGCGTGCCTGAGTGCCAACTGCAAGCGGGCTTAAGCCAGCGCAAAGCTGAAGCGACAGCTGAGGAGGCAACGGAGTTGCTCCTTGACTTGTCTTCCGCACCTGAGCGAGCAAGGCTGAGGGCTTGTTAGTGACAAAGGGGTTTGGGAAGGCGGGTGAAAAAGTCTTGTTACGGAGAAAGCGATCTATATAAGGCTTGTAGTGGGCTAACAGTCTTGGCTTAGGAGCAGTAGTGGCAGCGGCGCAGCACGAGATTCACAACCTACAATAAAGCACAAAAGAAAAGAAAACTCTTAGCAATGATTCGCTGAAAAATCACCCCATACGATTTGAGATTTGGGGACTTGATTCTCTGAAGAATCTTAGGGGGACACCCTTGGGATTTGAGAAGTGGGGACTTGATTATCAGAAAATAGGCGAGCGGCGGGATCAGAATCGCAGCGTCTTAATTTTTTTCTGGCAAGTACGGTTCTCAACAAGCACTTTCCCTACTACATGGAGCAGGGAGGGCTATTATGTAAACAAAGCTGGAAACCGACAAAAACCAGACAACTGAAATACCAAAACACGAAAGACCAGAAATAAAAAATACACAAACCAAAAAAATCAGGACTCTCAAAAAATCCTTGCATACTTCCTCATGTTCCGTTTTTCTGGTTTTGTTATTTTTTGTTTTTTGGTTTTGGTATTTCTGGTTTGTTTACACATTTGTTTGTATTTTTGATTTTTGGTTTTTCCGGCTTTCCAACTTCCACTTCGTTTTCTCCATGTGGTGCCTTGGTTGATTCAAGCCTATAACAACCCAACTCAGTTTTCGAACTTGTTTTTCGTTTATTACCTCGGTCTAAGGGATTTCGGTTTCCAGTCAATTTCACGTTACCTCTCTTACACAAAAATACAGAATTTCTATATAGAATTCCGACTCCAATCCCTCAGGACTGTTTCGCCCTTAATTTTGTGAGCACGAGTTCTCTTGCCTAATTTAAGAATTCAATCACAAATTGCGTAACTGATATCACGAACCAATTCTACTATTCATTTGGACTAAATCGAATAATTCAGTTATTAGAACCTTGAAGAGAATGCTGGGTTGATGCTAAGTTGAGAAAGAACCTTCAAAATGTATTCACCTTAATCAGACCGGGATGTCTGTTCAAATATTACAAGTTAACTGCCAATGCTATTGTTTAATCCGGCAACTGAATCCATGTAAACAACTTGCTTGAGTAGCGACGGTGGAAAGGTCTTGCCATGAATAAATTAATTCAATGCACTGACAAGGATTGAACAGCTTAACTATAGGAAGTGATTCCCCCTCCGCTGCCAAAACAACCGACCAAAACAAGAACCTTCTTGGGCGGCGCCGGGTCGGAGACGCTGCCCCGACGCCGGCAGGGAGCCCTCTGCGCACGCTTCGGAGCCTTGATTGCACATTGAAGCAAGTGGCCTGAACAACGCACACAAAGCATCCAAGAAGAAGACACCATATCTGGAGCATTTCGAACGGTGCTTATTGCACAGATAATCACCCTCCACGATGGGGCGTTTTCCCTTCAGAGCGGCCGGAAAAAAACGGACGTTGTCAACTAAACCATCTGTGACCCGCGCTTCTTCAGTAAGTTCAGTTCACCTGCACCACACTCAATCCAGCACGTACAAGCGTGTGAATGCAAGAATCTCCACCGGCGGCATGGACGAGTTCCTTCGAGTTTCTCCAGTCGCACTGGATATCTTGCCTTGCCACGACACTTGCGCACGGCGCAGACTAGACCTGCAGTGTTGACAAAACGGAGGAAAAAAAAAGAGGCACTCTGATTCACTCTGATCGCCTTGTCATTGCCATCGGCGTTGAGAACTGGCCCTAAGCAGAAGAAGAAAAGGAAACAACCAAAAACCGCAGAAAAAAATCGTCCGAAAGGCGAAGTAGAGCTGCAAGCTTGCGCCGGTGCTGCTCCTGCATTGCCTGACATAACGCTTACAATCCAAAAAAAAAAAACAAAACAAGCCAACCTGTATCCAAGCAAGGACGCCTTCAGGCTGAAACTTCCGGAACAATTCCACCATTTTCTCTTTTTGCAAAAGGCCTGAGGCAATGTAATCCGCAGGCCGGACTACAAAGAGCAAAAAAAACAAGTCTCCCGCATTGCAGCGCGGAACAGCACACACGGGCAACGGAAGCTAGGTCGACAGCCCGGACATGACAAATATCAAAAAACGACGAACGCCACACGTGCTCTATACTCAATCGACTGGAAAAAATTGAAGTAAAAAACCGGCTCCCATCTCCGACAGACACACCTTATTCATGGCCTTTAAACAAACGTTCGAGGCTCTGGAGCTTAAATTTGCAACCCAAATTCGGTGCCCCAGAACGGAAACGTTCCAGTGCTCTGTGGGAAAGGCAGTCTTGACGCAGGCTGCTGCTGCCATCCAATAAAAACTGATTGGCAGAGAGCGTCCTGCAAATTAGAGTTGTTCACGAAGCTGTATTCGGAAATTCGATGGCCAAACATTGCCCTCGAGCCAGCCTCTGGAAGCGCTGC